TTGAGCTGCTCACGTCAGATCTTGTCTCGTAATATTACGAATTTATTCTCGTATTATTACGACTTTATTCTCGTAACATTACAACTTTATTCTCGTAATTTGCAAAAAAATAAAACATTTGTTTTTCGTAGTCTGGCCCTAACACTCTGTGAATAACTGCATGCAGCGCATGCGCACTGTGACTCGGACCTGACAACAAGCTATCTGCTGTGAGTCTTTGATGATATGGGCACTGCGCTGGCATTTAAATTCCTCGGATAACCTAGAGTCAAATGAACAACGCCCTGCAAGCATTTCATCGTCATTAAACATATACTATAATCGCCTCTCTGCATTTCCACTATGCCGGTAAGTCGCTACGCCTCCGTTTGCGTGTTTTTTTGTGTGTGTTTTGTTTGCAGGAGGGGTTCCTCCCTTCCTGACGACCTCACTGATGTGATGCTAACCGGTTAGCATCGTTACCGCACCATTTTGCCGTTCCTGCAGGACACAAGGAACCTCGTCTACTCCTTTTTAACGGTCACAACTGATCCTTTAACACGAACCGTTAACAGTGTCGTCACCAACGTCTCCAAATCAGCTGTTGTCCGGCCGTTAACGTTAGCTAACCGTTAGCAACGGCTGCCTGCATAGCAACCCAGCAAACGGAGACACAACGTCAGATAACGTTCAGGTGGTTGTCCGTGTTTCTGAGTCACTTCACACCGACACACAGCTTTATCCTGATCTCCATGGCTATGTCAGTAAATACCAGCTTGCATCCTGTGTTATCAGTTCACTTCAAAGGGGCTTTAATGGCGTGGGGAAACAGAGGTTTAGTTGCCAAATGATGTGTAAAATATGGGGAGCTTTTATACAGATTAGTAAGAAAAACAAACACACACTGTCCCTCAGGTTGTGTCTCCTCTTAGGGTTATTTTCAACTCATAAAGCTCGTTGAAATCTGGGATTACGGACTTTAACTCGTTGAAATAAATTATATTATCAAATGTTTTCTATTGTAGGAGGAAGTGTGTCTCAGGGACCACATACTCTGTTTTCTTTTGGTTGCCATGATTTGATGATGAGGATCCCGATTGTGGGTCACAGTGTTTTCTTTTATTTGTGTTTTTTCAGAGCAATAAGCTTGAGAAGCCTGACAGGCATGAGGCCAATGATAACGTGAAGGTGGTGGTGAGATGTCGTCCCCTGAACCAGAAAGAGAAGATGATGGGCCACAAGCTGGCCGTCAATGTGGACGAGATCCGCGGGACCATTACAGTGAATGAGAGGGAGATTATTGACCTGGTGTTTGGAGACAGTGAATGTCTCATTCTGGACATTTGATCGGTATTTAAAGGATACATGGGTAATTATGGTTACATTAACGGTTCATTTCTCATTCACTTGTTATTTGTTTTTTTTATGGTTATGAAATTTGTTGGATTCTACAGATAACAGTTTATAATTGCGTCGCACTTCCCGTGAGGGGGGCCGTGGGGGGTGGGGACGGTCGGTGGGCCAGGCAGAGGGTGACACGAGGTAAGAAAGCGATCAGTCAGTAAAATGAGCGAACTATATTTTGTATAGGCAACAAATGAGACGCTTTTCTTTTCCTTCCACACACGATTAGTCCTGCTTACGATTCCCAGCGTTTATATCAGCGACAAATAAAGTGAAAACTGGTGTTCATTTGAAAGAGTTTGACACTATTATTGATAAACTATTATGCTAAATAATAATAATAATACATTTTATTTGTACAGTGCCTTTCATACAAGAAACGTAGCTCAAAGTGCTTTACAACAAAGCAATTGTTTGCACCAAGTGCTTCACATGAGCAAAAGACCCTTAAAGAACTTAAAATCAGGGATTGAATGACCTAATTAATGTAATATAAGATGGAATATAACAAAAACCCACTTGATAATAATAGTAAGATGAGGAATACATTAGATGGAAAATACAATAAAGATTTATTTTTTTTTGTCTTACGGTAATCAAGTCAGCTTGGAAATCATTTTACTGTTGTGCCGACTCTTATCGCCTTAAAATAAATGTACAGATTCACATCCAAATTCTGCTTTAACAGGCTTGCATGATGCTCTCTCCCTGAGATAATCCTGACAACAACAAGGGCAGATTAAAACCATTTCACAAGGTGTAAAACAAGTAAATAAATGTAATCTCCACAGGGATCATGTGAAAGTAAGTGTATTCTACAACTCTACAGCAATTAAAGCCAACTGAAAGATCATTGATAAACATAGTGTAGTCTTTTTAAGACTGCTGAATACATTACCTCAAATTAGGAGGCCACATATGCTTTACAGACTGCTTAAACACAATAATATATAAACTATATTATAAACTAAATAGTATGGCAGCTTGCAACTCAGGTAAGACCACATCTGAAAATACCTGCACTGAGGTCTAAGAGGATAAGAATTGAGACCTTTTTTTTTTTTTCAGAATTACTCAGACGTCACTGATTATTTTGATTAAGAGCCTGATTGAAATTCCTTCAGGCTTTTATTTTCTTAAGAGTTTATTTGCACTAAAACGATCTTTTCAAGTGTCTTACTAATGAGGTTGGATGTCGGCCTGTAGCTGGTCAGTGCACTACCACCGAGGTTGGGTTTCTTTATTTAGGGTTTCTGGGAAGATGCCTGTTTGAAGAGATGTGTTGATAATTATCAGGACACGACTATCAGCTTAAAATTGTTGTAGGTGCAGGGTAGGGCTGGGCGATATGGCTGAAATCTGTATCACGATATAAGTGTTTCATATCGGTCGATATTGATAATTATTGAAAAATTGTATGACCTATTTAAAATAAGGACCAGGAGGAAAATATACAAAATTTAAACATTTTTATTATAA